TTTTGAGAAACGATGTACAAATGCGCTTTACACAATTGATGTGTGTATGGATTGGGATAACAGTTGTATGAGCCCCTAATAAAATGTTAAAAAAAAGAAAAAGAAAAAAAAAGAAAAAGAAAAAGAATTGCTTAAGCTGTAATTTTTAAAATAGTTTTATGGTCTTATAATTCATATACCATACACTTCAGTAGTTTGCCATATCAAAAGAGTTGTACCATCATCACCATTAATTTTAGTAATTTCAATCATCACCAGGAGCATTAATTTTATCTTTGGAAAACTTTTATTTATTTTGTTTAGCATGTACGATGGCTAAGTCTAAAGCATTACTACCAAGACTACAGCTTATGCATGCACAAGTTTATTATGAACTAAATGTGTTTAAATGTATCTCTGTGATCAGTGAAAGATCACAAACAAGTTCTCATTTACTTTATAGTCTTGTTGGGATGGCTTCAAAAACAGGCCCAGTCAAAACAGACCCCCTTCCACAGGGATCTGCTGGGCATTTAAATTCAAGGCAAAGAATTCAAGTGACTGTTTTTGGGGGTCTCTCCAAAGTGGATAATCTTGATAGATTTTCTCAAAGGACCCAGGAAAATCACAGGGGCTTAGTAGGAAGAAAGTTTTAAGAACATGGAAAACTAGATTGGTAGGGAAAAAAGGCCAAGAAATTTGTACCAGAGACTTTTCCCCCATCACCACAATGCACTGTTCATTCTTAGAGTAGCAAAAGCTACCCAACACGAATGTCATTGGAAAACTTTATCTCATTCACCCTACAGCCCTGATCTTGCTTATTTGTGTTCCCTAAACTCTGAGAACATGGAAAAGGAACACGATTTGAGTCACCTGAGGTTGCCGACACTGCCATTTGGACCTGATAGAAATCAAAGGTCATAGAATTCATCAGGGCAGGGCTAGAGAGATGGGACCCCACCCTCCCAGCTTGACAGTCCTAGGCGGAGGCTATGCCAGGAACCAATAGCTTTGCATTTTATTAAATAAAGGGTTCTATGAATTTGTAACAAATCTTTTTTACTTAACCCATCCACACACATCAGAAGGAAACTCACTGTTCTCAAGTTGATTCTGACTTATAGCAACCTTATAAGACACACTGCCCCTTTGGGGTTAAATCTTGACTGGTGTGGACAGCCTCATTTTTCTCCTGAGGCACACTGGTAGATTTGAACCTCAGTCATTGTGGTTATTAGCTCTGTGTGTAGCCTATAATGCCACCAAGGACACACACACACACACACACACACACACACACACACAACTATCTCAAAAAGCACTGAGCCCATCTCCTTGTCTGACAAATCCCTGTAAAAATGCTGTCTCTGGCTACTTCTGGTCTCCCTTAGTCACCCAGGGCCAAGCAGACTCTCAAGCCAACTGACACTCTGTTTTATTCCTTTTATGGTGATTAGATGCTTGCTATCAGTAAATTTCCTGTTTTAAAATTTGAGAAATTAGGGAACCGATTACAAGGAACTATATGTGACCTCCTCCCTGGGGGACAGACAACCGAAAAGTGGGTGAAGGGAGACGTCAGAAAGGGCAAGATATGACAAAATACCCATTTATAAACTATCAAGGGCTCATGCGGGAGGGGGGAGCGGGGAGGGAGGGGAAAAATGAGGACCTAATGTCGGGGGTTTAAGTGGAGAGAAAATGTTTTGAGAATGATGTACAAATGCGCTTTACACAATTGATGTGTGTATGGATTGTGATAACAGTTGTATGGGCCCCTAATAAAATGTTTAAAAATTTTTTTGAGAAATTAATGAGACGAAAAATAGATGACAAAAAGACAGAATTCAATCATGAAGTTTTTCTGGTTTGACACCTGCTCTCTCTATGGGATCTGAGTGTAGAGCTGAGGATCTGCATTTTAACGTGGACTAGACCCGGCCGTCTGCCTCTGTAAACAGTGAGTCTCCGAAACCCCCAGCGGGTGCCTGTGGCTCAGCATTGGCTCGATGTCAGTGGGCGAGGAGGCTCCGTATGCCAGGTGCTGCTGTTGTGTCAGCGCTGACTCACGGCGGGCGACCTCACTTATGTCAGAGTAAATCTGTACCCCGTAGAATTTTGGAAACAGATCGCCAGACCTTTCTTCCATGGCTAACCATTTGCACCATCAGGATGCTAACGAACTATGTTGTTCGTTAAACCAGAATTTAAGCCGTCATTTAAATCAGAAGCCTTCATGGTGGACTGAAAGCATTAGAAGCTATTTCTCATGACCAGAAGGTGGCAATATTATCAACTAGGAATGCCTGCTCGCTTCTTTTCTTCCGTGGAACGCCTTTATATTTGTCAGCTTGGAATACAAGCAGAAACAAACAATATGTGTTTACTTGGATGGGGCTTGCTCTTGTACTCTCATTGAAGAGACATCTTTTCTACATTATTTATTTATTTGTTCACTTATTAATTCATGCGTGCATTCATTCACCAAATATGCATTCATATTAAGCCCTACTAGTGCAAGACGAAGGACCCTGGTGGCTCCAAGGGTTAATCATTGGGATGTCAACCTCAAGGATGATCATTCAAACCCACCAAATGGCCTCTTCACTCTCAAGAGATGAGGCTTCCGGCTCCTGTAAAGATTTAGTCTGGGAGGCTTTTACAGAGCACTTTGACTCTGACCTACAGAGATGCTTTACGTGGGAATTGACTTAACACTGGTGGTTTTGGGTGGATTTAGGGCCAGACCGTAACACTAGTGGTAAAATGGCTAAGTGCCCAGCTGCTCACCCAAATGTCCATCGCTTGAACCCACTAGCCACTTCGAGGGAGAAAAGACCAGCTTAGAAACCCCTACAGGTGCTTCGACTCTGCCTCATTGGTTGGCTATGAGTTAGAATCGACTCTGCTGCATGCTCCCTGGAGATGTGGTCTGGGCACATACAGTGGGCATCTCTGGAATGCTCACTGAGATGCAAGTCTTCTCTGTGCTGCATAGACTCCAGTCACTTCAGGACCAACAGATGGCAATGGAGGATCAGAATGCCCAGGCTAATACACCGTCATGCTCGTGTATTTTATTTTAGAAATCAGTCCGGCTCTCAACAGCCTACAGGAGACGCTGCAGATGGTGAAGGCTCAGAAAGAGCAGATCGAGGTCAACCTCACGACTTTCCGTGATGATCTCCGTGGGATACGGAGGGGTCAGTATCTCCCCGGCCCCTTGGTACCAAGCCTCTGTTGTTGAACAGCTTAGATGTGGACACTTCCCTTTTTTGTGTGTGCAATAGATGGTATCGATGATGTGATCGATAAAGCCAAGAGCCTGGTCCGGAATGCCAATGACATCACAAGTGAGGTTCTGGATGGGCTCAGCCCCATTCAGACGGATGTGGACAGAATTAAGGATACCTATGGAAGCAGGCAGCATGAAGACTTCAACAAAGCGCTGACAGATGCGGACAACTCAGGTAGCAGGCCAGCATGTGTTTGCCATTTATTTCCTCCATTGGGATGGGGTCTGGGCCATTCTAATTCTTTCCTGGTGAAGCCTGATCACAGAAATTAAGAGGCTAGTAACTTGTTTCATGTAGTAAATACAAAGAGGAGTGGTATTCTTTTAGTTAAATTAGATGAGTTTTTTGTTTTTGTGTTTTTTTAATGGACAGAAGATGCTGTTGACTTTCTTCCCTTATAAACCAGTTGCCATTGAGCTATTTCTGAGTCCTGGTGACCTATGTGAGTCAAAGTCTAACGGGGCTCCATAGGGTTTTCAATGGCTGGATTGTTAGAAGTAGATCGCCAGGCCTTTCTTCCAAGGTGCTTCTGGGTGAACTTGAATCTCCAGCCTCTTAGCCAGCAGCTGATCATGTTAACAGTTTGCAAGACCCGACTGGAGGTATAGGTCCCAGAATCATGAGGTGTTGAATGATGATTGATATTATCAGAAATAAAGTTTTCCTTTTCCTCGGAGAGTGGTTAGGAAAGAGAATTTAATAGACTGAAGAATAAAATCCATGATACAATTACAAAGGATTTTCTGATCTACTCTGCCCAGCCTTTGGGGCTTATCAACAACACCTATTTGTAGTTCATCTTTTCTCAACCCACAGGTAAACATTTCTGTTTTCTAATCTCACCCACAGTAACGAAATTAACTAACAGACTCCCTGATCTTCTGAGCAAGATCGAAAGCATCAACGAACAGCTGCTGCCCCTGGGGAACATCTCGGACAATATGGACCGCATACGAGAACTCATCCAGCAGGCCAGGGACGCTGCGAATAAGGTGGGTGTGCCCCTCATGCGTCTAACATCCAGCCGACTTCCTGGAGAAGTCGCTACACTTCTTGAGAAAGGAAAGTCTTTGTTGACTCAAGCATCAGTTGTCCTAACTCTTGGGTTGCTTGACATATGGAAGTGGATATACCCCTGCTGTCCTTCACAGGGGCACATCGCCTGAATCCTCTCAATTACCTGCTAGGTCAGGGACCTGGGACAGCCTCCTCCCCACTGAGTTTTTACAAGTAAGAAGGAGGATTTTTTTCTAAACATTTTATTAGGGGCTCATACAACTGTTATTGAAATCCATACACACATCAATTGTGTAAAGCGCATTTGTACATCATTGTACATGAAAGCAAAGAGCGTAAGGCAGAGTTCCGAAGACTCTCCCTGCTTCACACCCACATTGTTGTCCTCATTTGTCATGGAGTTGGTCCGACTCACAGCAGCTCAGGGTGCCAACAGAAGGAACCGCCCCCGGTCCTGCGGCACGCTCACAATGGTCATGTGTGAGCCCACTGTGGCGGCCACGGTGTCAGTCCCAGTTGCTGAAGGTCTTCCTCCTGTTGGTTGACCCGCTGCTTGACCAGTCATGACGTCTTCTTCTAGGCACTGGTCCCTCCTGATAACATGGCCAAAGATAAAATATTTTCATAATTTAAAAATGTAAAATGAGCAAATAGGAGTCTTCCGGGTCACAAAAAGCAGAAGGACATGCCAAGAAAAGCTTCAAAGTGTGGTTGGGTCTCCCAGAGGGCAGAGGGCAAGATGAGGAGAATGAGGGGCACCTGGGATCACGGCCAAGGGGGCGCTCCATCACCAGTGTCCTGCACCCACCCCTGAATCCCCTGTCCTAAAGTCACACCTATACAGAACCCTGGGTAAGTATTCAATGCTTGTGAGATAAAATGTTCAGTTGACCTAAGTATCACTCCACAAGTGTTTTCCTAAAATTGTTCAAGAACATTTATTATCTGTGATTTAGAATTGCTCCAAACTGATCCCCAGACAAGAAAAATATGCACATTTAAATATTTGGGACTTTGCCATCATTAGAATTGACATCCAAGCATGTCATTAATGATTTGTACTTTATCAACCCTTTGGTTTTGATTTTTCTAGTACTTTTGTTTGTAGTGTAGTTTATGAAAGTATTGGTCTATGATGGATTGGGGGGCAGGCGGGATGAGGGGAGATGGTCTTTGACCAAAGAGTTTTCGAAGTACTATTTTAGAGACTCTGGGTTCCTTCCATCTTAAGGATGAAATGTTTACAGTCCATGCAATGTAAACATGTTACTTGTTTTTGAAAACAATTCTTTAAGAAGTTTGTTGTAGAAAAATATTCTGGATGTCTTCATGTCTCTCCTGTTGGCACAATGGGCTAAGCCTCGGACTGAGAGTTGAAAACTCAGAGGTTCAAACCCACCAGCCTCTCCATGGGAAAGAGATGAGACAGTCTGTCTCCATGAAGGTTTTGAGCCCCGGTTAGCCTAGGGCAGCTCGAAGCTCTCCTGTACGGTTGCTGTGAGTCTGAACTCACTTGTCAGCAGTGGGTTTGCCTGTTTGTATGTTTCTTTTTCGAAGGCTGCTAGAGGCCAGGCAGCCTGCTGAGCACTTCCAGAAGTATTATCACACCTGCATAAAGACCTTCTAGGATTGCAGTACAGTGAACCCTCGTTTATCGCGGTTAATCGGTTCTAGACCCTACCGTGATAAATGAAATTCCGCGAAGTAGGATTCCTTATTTGTAAATCAAATATTTTCGTAGTTAGAGCATAGAGGACATGAAAAAACACCCTTTAGTCACCATTACACTCGTATTACCCAATTTATTAAACGAAAAAGGGAAAATACAGTAAAACATTTTGGACGTTACAATTATCATTTATTATTCATTGTATTATTTATGGCATCAAGCGTGTACAGTATGAGCCAATCAGTGGCAGTAATGACAGAGCATGCACTGTTACGCAAAAACCGCGATAAGAGTGAAGCCGCGGAAGTCGAAGCGCGAAGTGGCGAGGGTTCACTGTATCATCATAAACACGGAGAATTTAGCGGATCTCTAAAGATTCCTGTCTGACAAACAGGAAGAACCTGAGTTCTTTATTGGCCACCCCCTGCACTCGCTCTCCTCTTATCACAGCCACCTGGGGAAGACGGCCACGGTTAAGACCCAGAGCGCCGAGTGGCAGAGGACCTCTCTGAATCCACTCAGCTTCCTCGCTGGCATATTTAACACCCTACGTCTGAATCTCTAGGTTGCTGTTCCCATGAGGTTCAATGGGAAATCCGGCGTTGAAGTCCGACTGCCAAGTGACCTTGAAGATTTGAAAGGATACACGTCTCTCTCTTTCTTTCTCCAAAGACCTGAATCACGGGGAAATGTAAGGAATGAGAATATGTTCGTGATGTACCTTGGGAATAAAGATGTAAGTATTTCGCTGGCGTGTCTCCTGTAGGTCAAACAGAACATGTGCTTTGAGGCATGGGCGTTTTCTTTCTCCCGCTCGCTCTCATTCACTGCACAGCTGAGCCCCTGCCACTGGCTCAGCAGCTGGAAATCCCACCAAGTCATAACAGCACCCCACATCCTCCCCCTCCACCTCATGGTTCCCACATCTGTCTGTCAGTACAGATGTCACCTGCTGGTAGTGCCAGAGGCCTAAGCCAGTGATTCCTGTGGGCCAGCATACAGGCTTGCACGAGGGTAGGCTGTGCACAGACCCCCCTGGGGATTAATGAGCAGTACCCTGTCTCCATGAAACTAGGCCCTCAGTCAGATCTCACAACGTTGACATGCCCCCACAGGGGCGTGGCATCTTCTTCCTCTGAGCATCCCACTGCAGGCCACCCTCCGAGCCTGGGATGAGGGAGGCGCATCTCTATGGGAGAGAAGTAGAGGGAAATGAAACCTCTCCTGCCTTCTCAAGACAAAATGTCATTGTCCCATCTCTTTAGACCCATGATGCCACTCCCATTATGGACCTTTTGGCAGGTTCTTTTAGCTTCTCAAATACCTTTTGAGTGACGTTTCAGAAGAAGTGATCACTGACCAAGTTAGGATACATTTGTTAGAAGCAGAAATGTCTGGGAAACGGTTCTCAAAATTCTTCCTGATTAAGAAGTTGTTGACTGTTGCTAGGGACTGCTATCTGTAAAGATTTATAAATCTGCATGATTGTGAGTCAGCTCTTTGTACTGTAAGCACTGGTCCTTTCTTTATACTTTTCATATGACATGACTTTCTGTCTCGTTTCATGACAAAATACACTAACTTTAGTCCTTCAACACATATGTATCACCTACCTACTATGGGTCACATCCGGTCTTTTTAATTAATTTACCTTAAGGTTCTTCTATTTTAAAAGGGAATAAAGGTACTTGCGTAGGTGCTTATGATCATACAGGGGGCTAAAGGTTATAACACGCAAGCACAACGTGCTAAGAGAGCAGTGCGCAGTACCTGGGTGGTAGTATAGTATAGTGTTGGTGTAGTTAGTGTTCAGAGCCTTAGTGGCTGCTAGCCCCAAGACAGCAGTTCCAAACCACCAGCAGCTCTGTGGGAGAAAGATGAGGCTTTCTACTCCCATAAGGACTTATCGTATCGGAAACCTACAGGGGCAGTTCGAACCTATAGGGTGGCTATGGATCAGAATCAACTCGATGGTAGTGAGAGTAGCATTCAGTAGAGATATGCTATTGTACTATAGTATTCACAGTATTAGTAAAGTCTTCTCTCCCTATTAAAAGACTAATGGAGCGAGGGCTAAATTCCATATCTGGATTGGGTAGGAGTTGCTTGGCAGATGTTTATAGAGTGAGAAAAGGGAAATAATAAATAACTTCACTATGACATGAGCAAAGACTTCCCACTAATTGATTTTGACTCATAGTGAGCCTGGAGGATGGAGTAGAACGACCCCATGGGGTTTCCAATGCTGTCAATGTCAAAGGAGCCGATTCCTGTATCTCCCCACCCCCCCACCGGAGTGACTAGTGAGTTTGAACTGCCAACCCTTTGTTTATGAGCCAAGCACGTCACTACCAGGGCTCCTTATAAAGATGGTTCAGAGATTATTCATTCAGCATTCTGTATCTCTGTAAAAGGCCCCCTGCACTTCTTTTGTCTGCCCTGAGGTCTGTTAGTTATTTGAATGCATTCTCTTGGGATGGGATGCCCAGAGATCCCGGGGTGTGGCACTCTCTGAGGTGGCTCTCCTGTACCCAGACCTCCAGGGACTACATTGGCATGGCACTCATCAACGGCCGGCTCACGTGTGTGTACAACTTGGGGGCGCTGGAGGCAGAGCTCCAAGTGGACCAGAACTTGACGAAGAGCGAATCTTTTGAGGCAGTTATGGACCGGGTGAAATTTCAGAGGTACAAGTCTTCACCTGACCCAGGCTCTGCATTTGTATGCTTTGCTGAACTTGATAGTTTTATTATTGCGGCTATGATTTCTTTAACTCTCCCTCTGTGTTTTATATAACTTCATTCTAAACAGAATCTATCAGTTTGCAAGCCTCAATTTTACCAAAAGAGCCACAGACAATAAGCCATTACCAACCCAGTCCTATGACATGAATAGTGGAAGTCGCCACACACTTCTAAACTTGGATCCTGAAAATGCTGTGTTTTATGTCGGAGGTTACCCACAGGATTTCATAGTAAGTGTGAATGTGATTTTACTGTTATTTACATGTTAATTGTATAATGAACTAACATCACTAGTTTAATAATGTAGTACATATGAAATGGATCTGGTTGTATGTCCTTAAAAGTATGATCAATGATAATAAGAACTCATCCTTAATAAGTGCTTCCTATGCGCCCTGTCTATTCTAGGCTTGGGAATATTCATTAACATAAACATTATTATCATTCCCATTTTATCACTGAGACAGTGATTTACTAATGCTCCCAAGGTTATCAAACTAGGGAATCTGACTCCAGGGTTCCTTTTTTTTTAAACTCATTTTATCGGGGTTCGTACAACTCTTATCACAATCCATCCATCCATCGTGTCAAGCACATTTATACATTTGTTGCCGTCATCATTCTCAAAACATTTTCTTTCTACTTGAGCCCTTGCTATCAGTTTCTCATTTTCCCCTCCCTCCCCGTCACTCCCCCACTCATAACCCTTGATAATTTATAAATTATTATTATTTTTCATGTCTTACATCGTCCACTGTCTCCCTTCACCCACTTTTCTGTTGTCCGTCCCCCTGGGAGGGGGTTATATGGAGATCATTGTCCTCAGTTCCCTCTTTTTGCCCCACCTTCCCCTTCCCCTCCTGGTATCGCCACTCTCAAAATTGGTCAGGGTCCAAATTTCTTAGTCCTTAGTTGGAATCGACTCGGGCGCAGTGAGTAATTTATACTATATTGACTTCTACAAGGAATAAACCTATACTATTTCTTTGTCAACTTGATCATTGTCCTTTGGTGTTTTATTAATATTGCTGTTATTGTTTCTAGCTTCCCAAAAGATTACAGTTCCCGCCTTACAAAGGTTGTATTGAATTAGATGACCTCAATGAAAATGTGATGAGCTTGTACAACTTCAAAAAATCTTTCAATCTTAACACAACCCAAGTGGAGCCTTGTAGAAGGTAAATAGAGCCTAGGAACTAGAGTCTGTGATTTGGGTAACTTGCGGTACTTTCGCGTATGGCAAATGGACAGGTAAGTGAGGTGCTGTTGGTGTTGCCGGTTGCTTTGGGTCAGGAGGTCTTCGAGTAGGGCTTGCAGGCAGCACTGGATGGCCTCTCCTAAACTTAGCAATAGCAACCTTTCACTAATTTGTATAAAATATGACATTGATTAATAGAGTGCTTTCATTTTTTTAAAGGACACTTCTTACATGTTCAATGTCTCCGAACACCAAATAAGCAATGTTTGATAGTATCTGAATTAGGCCTAGGATTATACGTTTACTGTAAAATTTTAAAAGCTCATCCTCTGCAGAGACAGGCACCCTATGACTCGCTGGGGACTCTGCCCTGTGGTCCTTTTGGAACGCTCTGCCGTGAGCTTCTTACCCTACAGTTAAGAGGCCTTAGACCATTCTAATATGAAGATGTGGGGGAGTCTCAGAAACCAACAGGGCCAGTTCTACTCTGCCCTATAGGGTCGCTGTGAGTCAGAATCAACTGGGCAGCCGGGAGAATGAGCGTTCAGCATTCAGAACACAAGTTTATTTCAAGTTCATCGTTTCTTATATTTTAAGATCTTCAGCTGCTAGACTGCATCGTCCTCAGCAGATAGCTCCAAAGAGGACTCAAATATCATCTTTTCACTAGTGTTTGATTATTATACAGCATAAGATCATACCCAGGATATAGAGCTGGATGTCTTAACACTTTAAAGAGGTTTCATCTTCATGAACAAAATTGTGACAAATTGCCTCCAGCTTTGAGTTTCTCAGGGTTCAGCACCTTGAATTCATAAGCATACTTGTTGTGGGGGGGTGGGGGGGGGTAAAGGGAGGGGGCTTTGCTACCATGCCCTAACGTGTGATGATTGATATTGACAGGAGAAAGGATGAGTCAGACAAACATTTTTTCGAAGGCACGGGTTATGCTCGAATTCCAACTCAGGCAAATGCTCCCAACCCAAGCTTTTTTCAGACCATTCAGACGACCGTGGATAGGGGTCTGCTGTTCTTTGCAGAAAACCAGGTAATATATCATACGTATCCGTTGCCACCGAAGCTGTCCACTCATTTTTTTTAACATTGTTGGGGTCACTGGGTTATTTAAAGCAAACAATGTGCAAAGGTTACAGCATCATTTTCCTTGATCCAGCTTCCTTTCCCTCCGGTTGTTGTGGATGCGTGTCATAAAGAAAATGAGAATTTGAGGACATGCCATCGGAATATGGGAGAAACCTCCTCTTTCCCCATTTTATTCACATTGTCCATTTTACTCTTTGAAAACTACAGCTTGCCTGGCCATCTACTTGTTCCTTCTGGTACTTCCAAGCGTTAGAGGCTGTGACTTCCTGTTTGATTTCCCTCTTGCTTGAGCTCATGCCAGACTCTATGGAATTACTCACTTATCAAGGCGACTCTTGGCTTCCTAAGACACCCAAGCTTCTTTGCTTTCAAACAACTGAGGTTCCTCAAAGCCAGTCTTGGTCCTCTTGTTCCATCAAGTTCAAAGTGATGGTCAGCACCATCTGCTGGTAGATGGAGAGTTGAAGTGGTATTGGCTGCTGTTTCTTTACAGCTGCAAGGGGCCTGGAGTCTAAAACTCTTGTTCTCAGAGAGGTTTTTGTGAAGGAATATCCATCAGCCCTGTGAGGTCATTGGTCTGAGATCCTGAGATTTAGATGAAGTTTTGGATTTGACCAGACTCTTCTACATGTTGGGTTCACTCACTCAACGGACATCACATCAATTTTGGCTCACAGTCACCCGATAGGGTAGAGTAGAACTGTGTCTTTGGGTTTATGAGATGGTGACGCTTTACAGCAAGAGAAAGCCTCATCTTTCTCATATGAAGAGGCTGGTGGTTTCAAACTGCTGGCTTTGCAATTAGCAGCCCAACGTGTAACCCACTACCTTACTAGGGCCCCTCAGCCAGACTGGGTGGAACTCTCTGTTCTGGATGGGTCTGCATCATCCGTTCCCAAGCTTATTTCACCTACTGCTCCCTTTTCAGGAGGGAAACGTTTTTGTTTTGTTTTGTTTTTCAGTTCCCCCTTGGCCACTAAAACCTTTTGTACCCCATAATCCAGGATAAAGTGTAGGCATCTGCTTGTGCAGCACTCCAGCACCCCCACCTCCTAGGGAAACCCTGGTCTGAACCTTTCGGGATCTCAAGGCTGACCCAGTTCTGAGGAGCCTGGGACCTGCTGGAAGAACACAGAGAGGGATTCTCAGGATCCTTAAGGCAACACAGTTGGCAAGACAGTTAGTTTCCACAAGGCCATCTTTGTACTACCTTCCGAAGGTTTTATACACTAAGAAGCAGAAATACGATTTACAATAGAAGAAAGTTTTCCTAGTACTATTAGTAGGCAGAGGAGAGAAAATGAAATGCAGGGCTACTGTTAATTAGAATGACTCATTCTGCGCCAAGAGGTGGTGTTATTCTGTTGTTTGCACGTGAGGTTAATGCTAGCCCAAGGGGAAGGCTGGAGACCAGATCTGAACTGGTTTTCATTTTAGAAGCAGAGACCCTAACCTCCGTAGGGAACATCTTAGTTTCTTGGAGCTGCTGTAACAAAAACGCCAAAGTAGGGGACTTTCAAAAACAGAAAGTTCTTTTCTCACAGAGCTGGAGCCTCCAAGTCCAAATCAAGTGAATTCCTTCCCAATCAGTAGTCTTGGTGTCTATGCCCCCAAACGCCCACCTTCCTCAGCCTCCATCCCTCTGTGTCTGCTCTCTTTATAGTCCACAAGTGATTTGGTTTAGGATACACTCTGCACTGTTATGATTTCATCCCCATTACAGAGAAAACCATATTTCCAAACAGGATTATCTCTATGGGTAGAGCTTAGGATCCCAACCCGTATGTTCAGGAACACACTGTGCTCTATAGCAGAGAGGCCTTCTTATCATTAGGAAACTGTCAGAGCAAAAAGCCTTCAAGTGCTGTGTCAGCAATCCCTCCGCTTACCTCTTCACAAAGCAAACGATCCATTTAAGGATAGGTCTTGTACCTCAATGCAATGCAACCGTGACCAAGACAGATGTGGCTTTTGCCTTTGAGACCCAATTGTGCTAGCAGGGGAAGACAGGCACTCAACAGCCAGTCTAGTTGATCGGTTAATTCTCACAACCGGGATGAGTGGTATGGAGAAAGCGTCAAGGGTGGAACAAGTATGGATAAGAGCAGAGATGCTCTTGAGTAAAGGACCCTTGGTCCCTCTGATACCCGAAGGGCAACAGGACATGGCACGAGAAGGGGACAGAGCCAAAGGGGGATTCAAGGAGGGAGAGTGGGATGAGGAAAACCTGGAGGGAGTGGCCCAGGGAGTGCTGGGAAATGAAGCCAAGGAGAAGCCAGGGTCTCACAGCATCCTAAGATCCAAGGGAAGTAGTAGATTCCCGTTGGCATTTTCCAAAGGTCACTGTAGCTGCCGAGAGGAAAATGGCTTTCTGAGAACCAGAATGGGTATGGGAAGGATAGCGCATTATTGCTCTGCACTTTGGCAATGGAAGATGTGACTGAGATGCAAGTCACTCCAAAAACTCCGTACAGTGGTTTTTTTCTCATGATTTTTCATGGAAGCAGATCCCCAGACTTTTGGTAGTGTGGCTGAGTGGATTCTTACCACCAACCTTTAGGTTAGTAGTCAGGCACAAAACGTGGGAGCCACCCAGGTACTTATAGCAGAAGCTCACCAAAACCACTCACTGCCAAAGAGTCAATTCTGACTCGTAGCGACCTGATAGGACAGGACACAACGGCCCCTTTTGGTTTCCAGGACTGTAACTCTTTAACGGAGTAGAAAGCTCCAGCCTTTTCCCAAGGAGCTGCTGGGGGATCCAAATTTCTGATCTTGAGATCCCAGCCTAACACCTAACCACTGTCCCAGCATTCCTAGGTGGGGTGAAATGGAGAGAGGGTGAGGACCTGCTGGAATCCTCAAGGTTTGATTGGATGGCAGAGATGGCAGGCTCAAGAATGCCTTCAAGATGTGTGGCTTCCTCTGTGAGGCAATTAGGGGAGAGGAGGGATGATTTCGTGCCAAGGGGGAAGCATGGAGGTCCTAAGGCTCATGCGGGCTATTCTGAATTTGCCAGAACCCTGCATCGTGCGGGTGACAATAATAAGGCCGTTGGCTATGCAAGCAGAGCTTCCGAGAGGAGAAAACCACTTGGCTTCACCTGTACAACCAGTTGCCATGGAGCTGACCCCCAAGTCACGGTGGCCGCCTGTGGGTGTCAGAGCAGGCCTCTGCCCCATCGGGCTTTCAGTGGCTGGCTTTTTGGAAGTAGATCGTCAGCCTTTTCTTAGGCATCCTGGGTGGACTCCAACATCCAACCTTGTCATTAGCAGCTGAGCGTGTCGACCCAGGGACTCCTGGGTTGGCCAGCACACATGGATTGGAGTCGCGGGCGTGACTGAGGTTGCAGAGTGAGTGAGTGAAGACGAGGTCCTCTGAGGGACCCCTTTGTTAGTTTCCTTTCCCCCATGCTTATCACAGATGTAGGAAATAGGATCATGGTAATGGCTGACCTTTCTTGTCTCTTTCCTGGTGGTGTCATGGGTTAAGCATTGGGATAATGACCACAAGGTCAGCGATTCACACCTACCAGCAGCTCTGCGGGAGGCAGGTGAAGCTGTCTGCTCCCCTGAAAATTATACTATATTGTAGTCTTGGAAACCCTATATAGAGCCCATGGGTTGAAATGAGTCAGAGTTGATTCAGGGACAGTGGGATTTTTGGGTCCTGTGTGCCAAATATTGAACATGATGCTAAAAATGACAACATATTTAACCATCATAACCATCCCATGAATTATAAATGACAACATTGTGATGATCCCTCTTAACCAATGAGGCCGCTGAACAGAGCCATTTGTAACGTGAGAGTAACTTCTGATCGTTTCCATTGTTTCCTGGGTCTAGGACTACTTCATATCTTTAAACATAGAGGATGGCAAACTTATGCTACGATACAAGTCGGACTCAGATCCCCCCAAAGAAACAGGGAGTCAACAATTGGTGAACGACGGGAAGGACCACACGGTAAATGTCTTTGATCGATGTCCTTAGCCCATTAACCTGAGGCCAGTGCCGGTAGAACCCTTTCTAAAGGGCCAAATAAGCTTACTGGTCCTTCACCAAGGGAGACCGCCTTTAAAAATTTGGAAAGTTAGGCATGGAACTTAACAACTATCTGGCACGTACGAAATGATGGGAATGTTCTGTATCATATTTGTATCCCACGGGGCTCATGCTCAGAATGTTGTTCCTCCTACATATAGCAATGAACCTGGGGGGAGATGGATGAAACCATCATGGGTCTGCGGCACTGTCCATAGGAGTCACATGTTCCCATTGCTTGCTGATTCCACTTTGATGTGTTTCAGGTTGGGATCAGCTTTCGAAGAGCCCAAAAATATGTGATTGCCCACATGAATTCTCAAAGCATTAAAATTGATGGTGAAATCTTTGACTTCAGCACATACTACCTGGGTGGAATTCCAATTGCACTCAGGGAAAGGTAAGGTGATTGCTCCTGCTATATCTAGGCTACCTTGTGTTTTGTTTCTGTGTGTGTGTGTTTTAAGTTCCAGGGACAAAGAGCTAACTTTTCAGTATTAACAGGGTTACCCAGGAGAGTAAAATCCTCGCTAGAGAGTGGGAGTGGCCACTTGGAAGGGGGTGAACAATGTGTCACTCCCACTGTGCTCCTTGGGTGAGAAGAACCACAAGGAATAGGAGGAGTGTTGAGAAAGCTGCCCAGTGGACTGGGGCTGTGGCCCTGGTTCGGAAGGGAAGCCTGCAAGAGAAGAGGCAGTGTTGGGGGGTCCTGGCAGCAGCATCAGACCCTGAAAGCTGGGCTCTCTGCCTTCTGGGAATTGGGTGCCCTCCACATTTGTCTCCCCGGCTCCTTACATGACACCAAGCCAGAGAGCCGTGCCCAGCTGTTTCATAGCTACGTGACTATGGAGATTATTGAAGCTAATCTGAATGGCCGTCGAGCTGAATTAGATGGAGTAAGAGAAGTAAAAGATATTTCAAGAATGTACCCAGGAGTAACTGTGGCAGGCTGTTCATTTGTGTTTGTCCTCCGTGGCGCCTGCCTTTCGAGAGCAGGCCATTTGCAGGAAGGAAAGAGCTTGGAAGAGTGAGTCTGCTCTTATCACCCCCAGGGCCACCCTAGAAGTTTCAGTGCGATTACTTTTAGATGCGATTTGAAAGCTACGCTTTATTTCCTACTTTGTCATCCGTTTGAAGGAGTCTAGTGTGGTTTATAAAGTGGCGGGACAAGGCGATTCTTTCTTTGAGAATTCCTTTCCTTTGGGGCTTTTCACTGACCTGAATGAGAAGGTACTAATCTTTGCTCCCTGAGGCAGCAGTCCTGGTGGCATAGAACCCACTCCTTCCATCAGGGAGATGCAGGTTCCGTTCTGGGCAATGCGCTTCTGGCATCGCCCCCTCCCATCTGCGGCAGAGTTTCCAGACGCAGACAGAGGAGGAAGAAAGGTCTGGTGATGTTCTTCTGAAAACCCCATGGATCAGCGCAGTCTAATCCAAACCCACCGTGGGGAGGGGGCGGGACGGGGCGGGGTTTGGCTCTGAGTCAGGGATAACGCCAGGGCAGCTAACCACAGCATTCGTCGTTGTTTCCAAGTTGTCAAAATCGTTCCCAGAGTCAAAAACATGCAGGTAGGAAAGCTCAGCACTTTAACGGGGCTTGGCAGGTGCAGACTGGCTTCACTCCATAGATTCCTTTGAGTTGAAAGGGACCTTACAGATCATGGTGCATAATGCCTTCATTCTACGGAGAGGCAAAGAGGTGGGGTGACCTCATCGATGTTCAATAGCAATTCAACCCGGTAGAAGCCAGTGGGAAGATTTCACTGTCCTTTCGCTCCCTGGCAACTAGAATGAAAAGCAACATGTAGGCCTTTGGGACCCTGTCCCCTCTTTCTGGAAATCCCTCTGATGGCAAGGCTCTGTCTCCTAGGGTGTTTGTGAGGACTTGGAGTATGCAAGGGAAGTCATCTGTACAGGAGTTGGCCCATGGAAAGTGCTAGGTGGATATTAGAAGAGAATCTGTAAGCATTTGTTGTGAGGCTGGAATCCTAGGGACCTGGAAGTACCCCGCACGAAGTATGTGTTCCACTTGTAGGTTAATTGCCCTTCTCTTCCCGGCTCCGCCGCCACCTTCCTCTTCCTTCCACCAGTCTACTCTAATAGGGAGTAGAACACCAGGGGATATTGATTGTGTCTAATACATCTTGCTATCCCAGAGAGAATGGGTCTAAAAATAGGCATAAATAGCCAAGCTCCAGGAATTAAAATGATCTTGCCTTCTATCCTGAGGCAAAAGCCATCTTTATAAAATAATTAAGCTCTTTCTGCAATGCTGCTGAACGCTCATTTCTTGCTTTTCCTTTCAATGAAATGTATTTTTTATACATACGACACGCAGCTCAACTGTTTTATAATGAGTTTAATTGAAATGAATGCAGACACCTTTCAATTTAGAAAAGTGCGCTGCCTTGAGGATTCATAATGAAATCAGCTTCGGGTTCTTCTTAGTAACCATGTGTTTTAAGAAACCCATCTATTGGTCTGGACCTCAGTCAGCTCATATGTGTTCATGCCTTATGGACATTCAACTGCAGACAGACTCCAAGGTCAACTTGAAGGGCAAATGCCAAGGCAGCCAGGTGGGAAGAATGGCTCTCATGATCATAATAGCTGTAATATGAGAACAAAAGACCCACACCCGTCACTGTCGAGTTGGTGCCAACTCATAGTGACTCTAGAGGACATAACAGAATTGCTTGATGGGTTTCCAGGGCTGCCAGTCTTTCCAGAATCAGAGTGCCTGATGGGCTGGAACCGCCGACTTTATGGACACCAGCCGAGCACTTAACCACGTGCCACCAGGGCTCCTTAGACTCCCACTACCTCCCATTGAAGAAGAGCTGGTGGTGCAGATGGTTAAGTGTGTAGCTGCTAAGAGAAAGGTTGACACTTAGAACCCACCCAGAAACCTCCCAGAGAAAGCCTTGGCACTCGCTGTCCATAAAGATTCTCATGGCCATGTGGACTCATGGCGCCTGTGAGACAGGGTCGAACTGCCCCAGTGAGTTTCCAAGACTGTAACTCTTTACTGGAATAGAACCATAAAGGTAACAGTCCAGAAACCCCAAGGGGGCAGGTGTAGTCTGTCACAGGGGGTTACTATGCATCAGAATCAACGCAAGGGCGCCTAACAAGTGCCGATAGCTTTGTCCCAAGTGCCGTCTGAGCATGTTGCAAATAGTAACTCCTTTCAACTTGCCACAACCCTATGGAGCAGACTGGCATATTCCCATGGTAGGAACAAGCACACAGCTGACAGAAAAGTGGTGGAAGCCCTGCGGCCCTCAAGTCAGAGGGAGGAGACCTGGCTGCAGACCCCACGGATTCACACACACACACACACACACACACACACACCCT